CAGACTCATTTTCCTTGGATTAGAAATTCACGTATTTGCCAGTTAGCAAGGAGCCCTGAAGATTACACTACCTTGTATTGTTATTAAATATTTGACAATCTTTATATAGCTGAGCTTTATTTTTGCTCTTTCCTTATCACTTTAGGTGTTGGAGGTGCTTCTGAAAATGATGACCCTTCCAAAATGGTTATGGTTTTGGCAGCTACAAATTTTCCCTGGGATATAGATGAGGCTTTACGGCGACGTCTTGAAAAACGAATTTATATTCCTTTACCATCAGGTACCATCATTGAAATCTTGTCTCAAAACCTCTTATTAACTACCACATAGTTTTGTTTAATTTGCACCGTGGTATTAATCTTTCCTAGAGAGTTAAATGGGTTATCTTTTCTTCATGTTACTAGTTTGACTACATCTGGGGCTTGAAAGCCTTGATAATGAAGAAATTTAAAAGTTCAGTGAGTGACAGCTCTTGAAAGTTCAAGCAAATGAAAACTGGAGAACAACTTCACACAAAGTAGACAAAGAAGACTTGAGAAATAGTAATAGTGTTTCTGTTGAAGACTTACATTTTAATATTTGTTTCTATCATTAGCAAAAGGCAGGGAGGAGCTATTACGAATAAGTCTGCGTGAGCTGGAATTGGCTGATGATGTTAACCTTGCAAGTATAGCAGAAAAAATGGAAGGTTATTCAGGTGCAGACATTACCAACGTGTGCAGGTATGCATTATTTTGGAAGGTAAGGTTTTTCTGAGTGAAAGCAGTTGTAGCCAGGCATGATGGCACATGTCTATAATCCCAGCACTTGGGGAACTGAGGCAAGAGGATTGTCATGGCTATGAAGACAGCTGATGCTATGTAGTGAGACCCTTTCTAAAAAAAATAGAAAACCTGTCGCTGTTTTTATGCTGCATTAATGTAGACCCACATTTTATTCTCTCAAGTCAGGGTTACAAGTTTTTATTATTTTTGTGATACTGGGGCTTGAACCCAGGACATTCTCACTGAGCTACATCACCTTCCTTCCCTTCTTCCCCCTGCTTTTTAATTTTGAGACAGGGTCTTGTTACATTGCCTAGGCTCATCTTGAATTTACAATCCTGCCTCAGCCTAAGTGTTGGGGTTAGCCTGTGGCAACACACCTAGCTCAAATTTGTTTTAAATTTTAGATGCTTAATAAGATATTTGGGTATCCTGGTAAAAGCAGGTGCTGTCAAGTAAGATGTTTGGGTATCTTCCATGTCAGTGAAGAGTCATTTTAAAGTTACAGTTCAAGATGTTAATATTAGAATAATCTGGGTAAATTAGAAAATTGATAGTTGTATTGGATTTAAATAATTAGCACATTCCTTCACTGTTATATGGCAAGTGATTGTAAAACATTGATTTGACATACCCATGGGGTAAATAAGAACATCTTGTTTTTAGTGAACATATTCTAAGTGATGGAAACAGGAGAAAGGAAAAAAAAAAAGGTTGCGTGTAATCCAGTGCACTAGGTTTTATCTTAATCAACGTCTCAGTTCAGATACTTACGAGCAAAGATCTTTTTTTTTTATTATTTTTATTTTTTATCGGTACCGGGGATCGAACTCACAACTGTCTGCTTGCAAGGCAGGCCCTTATGCCGCTGAGCTAAATCCCCAGCCCCACGAGCAAAGATCTTGACTTCACCAGTTCCTTAAGCTCTAAAGTGAGCACACATTCAGGGTTGTAACAGCTGGTGAGTGTGTACACATAAAGCAGCTAAATTGTCCCTTTCAGTACCTGCTGGCTACTCTAAAGGATGAGAGTTGGGAGAAAGGAAAGAGGTGCATGAGATTTCTGAAATAGAAGGGGAAGGGAGAAAACTGACATCTTTTGCTTTACATGGAAAAAGCAAGTTTTCTAGTGAAATATTTTCTGTCTCTGTGATGCTTATTCTTTATTTTGCAATACAGCAAAATGCAACTCCTGGCTTGGTTGTACCTTTGTACTTTTTCTTGGGTTTTATGTACATTATCAATTACTTTTTGGTTATTCTTAATTTAGAATAGAAGACTGAATTGCTAAAAAACAACTTAGATCAGGACTTGTATTCCAGTGTAAGATCTGATGCAGTACTACACGTTACTTAGTAAGATCTGAGACTATTATAACACATTAGATTTTTTTTATTCAATCAAAATAAGTTTGTGCCTTTTTTAAAAACTCAAAACTCTAGGGATGCATCCTTGATGGCAATGAGAAGGCGAATTGAAGGTTTGACCCCAGAAGAAATCCGAAATCTTTCACGAGAAGAAATGCATATGCCTACAACAATGGAAGATTTTGAAATGGCTTTAAAAAAGGTTTCTAAGTCAGTATCTGCTGCAGACATTGAAAGATATGAGAAATGGATATTTGAGTTTGGATCATGCTAAATTCTCACATGTAAATTGTGAGAAATCTGCCTTAAGTCTTGGAAAAAAAATTAAATGTAGTATTTCATTGCACTGCTATATTTTTATAAACTTTCATAATGGTAAGATTTTTTTAAATCCTTGTGATTTTGAATAAAGGCAATTATTAAGCTCCAAATTTTTCTTTAGCATCTTTTGATTTCATTGTCCATGGATGCTTAACCACAAATAACTCATGTCATTTGGGAAGCTGGCTTTGTATGTTCCTCTAAACATAGTATCTTCTTTACCACTTTGGCTCTTGCTCTGTAGTTGGGGTAACTGAAAATTACAGAACACGTTTTTTTTTTTTTTTTTTTTTTTGGTACCACAGATTGAATGCACGAACTTGCACTTGCCCGGCAGGCACTTGTGCCACTGAGCTAAACCCCCAGCCCACAGAACACTTTTAAACTGGTAGTGTGCCTTCCTTTCCACTTAGTGGCATAGGAGCTTCCCTTGTTCTGGGATAGTGAAACTTTTTACTTTTACTGTGCTTTTAAGAAGGAAAAAAAAAAACATCTTGTCTAACTTTGCCTAAGAGGCAATACTATAGGTATTTTTTAAGCCCACGTGTTCTTATACCCTAGTCAAACTCCTCTAACAGTTAATTGTATAAATAAATGAATGAAAGCATACCCACATTTTTGGGTAAGATTTCCATTGATTTCCTATAATAACATTGTATTATTCCAGTCACAGAAGAACAGAGCCTCAAGCAAGCTGAATTCTTTGTTGTGGTCCCAAGTTTCAGTGGAAAGGGGAGAAGCCAGGATCATAACTGGCTGACTGCAGAGCCTTGTGGTCTCCTATATTTCTCCTGCTACCTTCTATAAGCTTATAGTTAACAGATGCAATAAAACCTTGTCACTAACATAAAGTATTACTAGCCTGTGAATTTAGAGTTACTACTTTTAGTATTTTTGGTTGAGACAGGGTCTTGCTTTGTATTTGTCTGGCTTTAAACTCACAAAAGCCCCAGACTGGCCTCAAACTCAGTGATCCTCCTGCCTTAGCCTTCTGAGTGCTGGGATTACAGGTACATGCCATTGTGCCTGGCAAGGATCAGATTATAAATATCATGCCATTATTTTTGTTGTTTTTTATAAAGGAGATAGGAATAATACACAATTGAAAGTTACTAATTACAAGCCAGGCAGAATGGAATGCTCACCTTCCTTCTCATACTTGTCTTTGCTCTTCTCTACATGCGTATCTACTTTTTTTTTTTTTTGGTCTTTTTCATTTTTATCGGTACCAGGGATCGAACTCATGACTGCCTGCTTGCAAGGCAGGCACTTATGCTGCTGAGCTAAATCCCCAGCCCCTACTCTTTGTTTTTTCAAAAAGCTGGGTATGGTGGTGCATAACTGTAATCCCAAGCACTCTGGAGGCTGAGGCAAGAGAATTGCTACAAGTTTGAGCCAGCCTAGGGTACGAAATAGTGTGAAGGCCAGTTTGAAGTAAACAGCCCCTGTCTAAAAAAAAACAAAAAAACCCTAATAACCAATAACAAACAACCAGTACTTTCTTGGACTGTTGTAGGTAACAATCAAAAACAATGAAGTAATAGAAAGTATTACCTGGAGTAAAAGTTACATCTACAGGTCACACTGTTAAAATTCAGTGTGAGTGGAGGTTTAAAAAAGACTAAACGCAACAGTTCCATACTTTTTTGGGGGAGTGGGGTCTTTTTTGAAACACGGTCTTACTATGCAATTCAGGGTGGCCTTGTAGCCCAGGCCTAGTCTCAAATTTATTACAGTCCTGTCTCAGCCTCCTAAGTGCTGAGATTACAGGCGTGCACCACACCTGGCTCAACAGTTCCGTATTTTAAACCACAGGATGAAGAGTATAGACTGATTCCATGAGTATGATAGATTAACTGATCCAAGCTTTGGCTTCAACCAGTGTAAGTGAAGAGCTGTACCTGCATCTGTACAGGCAAGGATCCTTTTTATTTGAGATGGGGAGGGGGAAGAGGTTATGTAATTGTAACCAAAACAGCTATATTTTTTCCCTCATAAAGTTTATTTTAGAGTGAGAACATATTGTAGATCCTGGTGCATTCATTCAAGCTAAGTAGTCTTGGTACAGGATACAATCAAATTATAATACACTTCAGTGATATTTTACGGAGTCACACATTACAGTATCTTGTACTGAATAAAAAAATAAGTGCTAAGTTCTTGACTTTTACATTAGAATTTCATAAAGTGCTTTTCATGAAGTCATAGTAATTAAGTGGGTATAATTTCCTTAGCAAAGGCACCTTGGAAAAGTTATTGGCACATGGTATTCTATCTCATCTTTTTTTTTTTCTTTTTGGTAGCTTCAATCTCTTTACATGTCTTCTCTTCCAGTTTGCTTATATTTTTCTTAAAAATTCATCAGCTGAATAGCCAGCCCTTTTATAGAATAGCTAAACTTTAATTTGGCACTGTAAAACTTTCAGGTAGTCAATTTTCAGGTAGTCTCTAGCTTGGTAATTTCTTTGTGAATAAACTGATTCTTCATAATTCAAAGAAAAATATATTCAAGTGGCAAATTGGGAAACAAACTAGTCCAGAGTCCATGATTTGAGATGGTATTTTAATTTTTAAGTATTTGTTTGTCTTCAAGGTTTTTTTCTGTCTTCTCAGGGAAATCTGGATAAAAGTTGATAGCTGTCACAGGTATAATATTCACTTTATCCACCTGAAGAAGTCCTCTGAAATATAAGATAATTATTTACTATCAAAATTAAGTATTTCCTAAACTAGCAATATAAGATAGGGCTACTTAAAGGTTATAATTATACATTTAAGCCAGGTGTGATGGCGCCTACCTATAATTCCAGTACTTGGAAAGCTGAGGCAGGAGAAATGCTGTGAGTTCAAGGCCAGCCTGAGCTACATACATAGCAAGACCCTGTCTCGAACAAAACAAAACAAAAACCACATGCCTAAGATTACATGCTTTTGCTTCACCTTGTCTAATTTATAATGGTTATGCAAAATGAGTCCAAAGTTCATGTTAGCTAGACTGACTAAGGGAAGAAAAGGAATACAGAAATGACACTAGTGAAGGAAAGCACAGAATAAATGTAGGTCTTCAAGTAGTTCCTAGATTTGCAGAGCTAAGGCAGAAAGGCTAAACCCATATTCTTAACAGTATCACCAGTGGAACACTACCTTGTATCTTCAGATAGCATCTTTTTCTTATTGTAAACCTGACTGCAGAGTAAGTCTCTAGAATGAACCCAAGACCCCATATTGTTCAGTTTAATGTTACTCCATTTAATACACCAACAGAGGCCTTTTAGAAACCAAACAAGCTGTAATGGTTTTGATCTAAAATGTCTCAGTCTCTTGCATTCAGAGGTGGGGCTTTCAGAAGGTGTCTGGACCATGGGGGCACTATATTCATCAGTGAATACACGGGCAACCATTCAGGACCCTTCCTGTGTCTCAGGAGCTACTCCTATTCCCCAATAAACTTTCCTACTCTTAAAACAACACTGAACATGCTATTAGGACGTGGGACCTTGTTGGCGGTGGGTCACAATGGAAGGGTGCATTTTTGTCACCAGCTCATCGCTTTGTTCTCTTATTTCCTGGCCACCATAACTGAGCAGCTTTGGGTTACCAGGCCCTTTCAATGTGCTGTTTCTGCCTTAAGTTGGCACACCATAGACTGAATCCACAAATTGATCTAAAAATGAACTCTCCTTTAAGTTGTATTGATATTTTGCCTCAGCAATAGCAAAGTGACTAGTATATAAACTGATTATAAAAGAGGAGAATCTTTGCAAGAATAGTCATAAGGTTTTTTAAAAATGAACAGTGGGGAGAAGAGAAAGTTGCCCCAACCAGCTACCAAAGACCTTACTAAAACAAGTTAGTTGGATGTGGGTATGCAAACCTCTTATTTGGCACTCTGGGAGGCTGAGGCTGATAAGTTCAAATCCTGTCTGGGCAACTTAGCATTTTAGCAAGACCCCATTTCAAATGAAAACAGTGCAAATGGCTGGGGATATAGCTTAATGCAAAGGCACTGGGTTCAATCCCCAGTACCAAAAAACTTAAGTTATTAAAACTTCCGGTACAGTAGCATACACAAACAGAAGAGAGTCCAGATAGAACAAAACAAAAGTGGAACACACTAATATATTGGAATTTTGCTTATAGCATTGCAAGTCAAAGGAATGATGGCCTCTGTTCAGAAAACAAAATCAAAATTCTAGCTTAAACTATACTCCTAAGTGATGCTAAAAAATAATATTTAAGAAAATACAGAAGCAAAACCTGGGCATGATGGTGCATGCCTCTAATCCCAATACTCAGGAGGCTGAGACAGAATCATGCTAAGTTCAAGGTCAGCCTGAACTACATAGCAAGGCCCTGTCTCCAGTAAGTGAAAACAAAAGGGAAAGAAAAGGGAAAAAAAGGAGGCACAAGGGGCTGGGGATTTAGCTCAGCGGCATAAGCGCCTGCCTTGCAAGCAGGCAATCGTGAGTTCGATCCCCAGTACCGATAAAAAGGAAAAAAACAACAACAACAAAAAAAAAAAACAAAAAAAAGAAAAAGAAAAAGCACATAAGCCAGGTGTGGTGGTACATGCTTGTAATCCCGAGACAGAGACCACAATGGGAACAAAATACAGGTGCACTCCTGGGCCTTAACTGGGGACCTGTTACCCATGAAAAGCTGGTATACTTCCCTGCCTCCTGATGCTCCTAAAGGATCTTAGTAACATCAAAATCTAGGTGTATAATAAAAAAGGCCTTGCCATAGCATTTCTAAGATAGCTGAGGAAGTGAAACCAATGGGATCATCACAGAGGACAGAGGACAAACAGTTGAGCCCTTAACCTGTTACTCCTTAAAGGTATGCTTTGTGTTTTCCTTTGAGACAGGGTCTTAAAAGCTGCTTTTGCTAAAACAGTGACTCATCTTGGGGCTACACATACCTAGAGGGACTAAAAAACAGGATAAAGCTTGGTATTTCCGTCTCCATTCTGTGTCTCCTTTTCTACCTTATAAACTTTGGATCAGATCCATAGGCAGCTCTGCATACAGACATGTTAATTGTTTAGGGAGTATCTGCCTTAAGACTGGAAATGCAATGCTTATTAGCCATAATATGCCTAACAAATAATCCTCCTTTATGATTGAGGGCACTAAGGTGAGAGATTTGCAGAGACATTTAGCCACCAATTTTAACTTTGGCACCTAAGTCTCCAGTCATTGCTCTAAACCTGTAGTAGTAGTCACCTTGGATTCCAGAGTGGCCACAAATCAGAGTGCCCCCTGTTGTCTTACAGCTCCTTCTAGTGGCCAAAATTTTAACCTATGATTTTTTTTTTGAGACAAGGTGGCCTTGAAGTCACTATGTAGTTCAGATTGGCCTCACACTCAGGGTGATCCTCCTGCCTTAGCCTCCCAAGTGATGGGGTTCCAGACGTGTGCCACCACACCTGGCTTAACCTAATATGGAAACCAACTCACCACCAACAAAGGAAGCATCTCTTTTCATTGCCTAGACCCAGGATAGAAGCTGTTGCCCTGCCTCTCCCATCCGGAGACATCTGCTGTACTTGAAGTGCTAACAAATCTGCCTAATGTTGTTTCAGGATCTTAAAACAATCATATCAAGGAAATCAGATTGTTCCCTCAAGCAATAAGGATGTCTCCAGAGTGACCTTTTTCAGAACTAGGCTTGAGATAATGATCAACCAGACCTTAGCTCACATTAGCAACCCCTAAGAACTGGCCTCTTCCCTTTATTAATGGCCTAGTCTGATTCGCTTCAGTACTTCTTTTCAAGCTGAAGTTCCTTCCTTATTTTTCTTACATTCCAGTTTTTGCTTGTAAACTCATGTAGTTGCCTTGTTTTAATTTTCACTATCAAGGACCCACTACATAGTGTCATTTCAAGACAACTGGGAGGCTGAGGCAGGAAGATCTCATATTCAAACCCAGCCTGGGGCACCTTAGTGTGACCATGTCTCAAAATAAAAAGGGGCTGGGGATGTAGACCAGTGTAAAGTCCTTGCCTAGAAGACATGAGGCCCTGAGTTCAATCTTTATTACTAAAGGCAAAAAAACCAAACCAAACCAAACACCCCAGAATTTTAAAGATAGGAATGGCCTATTTAGACAAAATTAAATCCCCAGAAACTACAGAGGAATAACAAATTGCTCAGACCTTAATGCTTTTGTATGGCATCAGCTACTACTATATTGTAAGAACAAAATAATGATAGCATGGGATTAAAAAACCCGTAATACATAAATATACATAACAAAGGTGCTGATATAAATGATTAGCAGTACAAGTTATAGCGGACAAAGGCTACAACTAGGCAAGTCACAAGAGAAATATATCTATAGCCAGTTGTCACAAAAGATGCTAGACCTGGGCTGGGGATTTAGCTCAGCGACATAAGCACCTGCCTTGCAAGCAGGCAGTCGTGAGTTCAATCCCCAGTACCAGTAAAAAGAAGAAAAAAAAAAAAAAATCAGAAAAGATGCTAGACCTAAACCAGCAAAGTTACTAGTAAAAATAAAACAGAAAATTAAAAGGAGATATTTTTATAGTAGTAGCAAAAATGTAAAAGATCATCAGGTTCTTAGTGGTTTTTAATAAACATATCCCGTGATCTAGGAATCGCAGCAATCTGTTTACATAGATTCACATGTACAAAGACAGATGTGTCTACACAAGAATGTATACTAGAACATCCTGGACATAACATGAAATGTTACATAACATGAAATTGGAAATGATCTAAATGTCTACTGAGGAATACTTATGTCCTTGCTGTGGAACACTGTATTTTTTATTTGTAAAAAGATACATTTTATCTTCAAGTTTCTGGGCTTATAGCTCCTAAAACCTTTCAATCTCCAAAGTGATAACCCTTAATAGGCTAATGAGGTGACTGATGGCTAGGAGCTCCTGATGTCCACAGGGCTGGTTGCCAGAGGAATGGACCAACCTGTGACTACAGGATTGGAAGTTCTGTTCCTCCAACCTCTACGGAGGAAGGGGAGCTGAAGATTGAGTTAGTTGATCACTAACAGCTAATAATTTTATCAATAATGAAGCCTCCATAAAAACCCAGAAGGGCTGGGTTAGAAAAACTTCCAGAGAGCAGAACATGTGGGAATGCTTACAGAAATGGTACTGGGGAGAAGAAATCCCCCCCCACACACACACACTGGTCACCAAAGGTAAAGAAATAAATTGAAAACCTCGGGTTTTACCTCGTTTAGAACTATGCAGCCATAAAAAGAAGATGTACATTATGATTTGTTAATTTAAAATACTGAACAAAAATTGAAACAGGTTAACTACAAGGAGTAAAAAAAAAATTAAGCACATATACACATATTTAAAAAGCTAGGTATGGTGGCACATGCTCTAATCCTAGCACTTGGGAGGGTGAGGCAGGAAGATATCTGTTCAAAGACAGACTAGGCTACACAGAATTCAAGGTCATCCTGAACTACACATAAGACCCTGTCTTAGAAAAGGAAAGGAAAAATAAGAGGTCAAGTCCATGTAGCCTAATTGCAATGAAATCTGAATTTGTAACAGCAAATTTACAGTTACAACAGAAAACTTTAAATTTTCAAGAGATTTCATGTGCAATATTATCTTGATAATTCATGGTTTCAATGTTAGATTGCACTATGATCCTTTCAATAAGATCAAGTCTTTGCAAAGCTAGATTTTTAGCAGCTACTGTGATAAAAAAGCAAATACTATGTAAAAACTAATGCTGAATAAGAAATGAGGGCAACCATGTCCAATCAGATACAGAAGGAAGAAAATAAAATTTCTCTACTTCTGCGCTTGTTCCAGTCATTAGGTAACTTATTTTCTCATTCTAAAACATTTTCATAGGTTTATGCACATAAAATTACATGAATACCTTTCTTTTACTCAAGTGCAATGATACTGCTGTTCAACACCCCCAGAACCAACCTCCCCCCCAGATTTTGGACTTCTTCAGCTACAAAAAAATCATAATGCCATTTGCTGTCAAGCGTAATGTTCACAAGAGGAAACAAAAGCAAAATAAGAGGCTGTTACAAGCACTGGAGCAATGAGTACCGCTGCTGGTCTCCACATTTTAAACTGATACTTTGGAGTGAAAATACATAGTAAAGTCCTCTTGTTTTGTTACTTATTATACATGCTACACCTTCCATGAAGGTTACTTATTATACACGCTACACCTTTCTCTTCCTACTACACTTTTAGATCTTCTACAGCAGTTTGTCTTAACTCATATTTGCATCTCTAAAAGTATGTTGATTACAGTAGGTATTCAATAAATGTGTTGTAATTTTGGTAAAGTTGAAAAATGAGCTAATTTTTAAAACTGTTATTTTCCTATCAATCTGTCTCACCATCTTACACTCTTTTTGATGCTTTTTATTCTAAGAGATATAGTCAGTGTAGTGTGTGTGTGTGCGCGCGCGCGTGTCTATGCACACAATAGAGATTGAACCTAGAGCCTTCATACTGAGCTACATCTCCAGCTTTATTTTTAAACATTTGAGACAGAGTCACACTAAGTTGCCTAGGCTGGGCTTGAAGTTGAGATCTGCCTGCCTCAGCCTCCCAGTGTGCTAGAATTACAGATATGTACCACCATGCTGACCTAGGGCCACGATCTTCAGGGGCAGGGGCATAATTTTTACCCCTGGCATCACGAACCCACAAACTAGCATGGTTTATATTAATAGTGAAAGGTATCATAATTTAATTTTTGTAAGTGTACCATCACACCTAACTCATGTCTTAATAATTAAAAATACTAATGTTTCACATGTGAGAAAACACTTACTTGTATTTAGAAACTGGAAAAAGCAACTTTAAGATGGTTAAGACCCCAGATGCTCCTAGAATTCCAACCACCATGACGTTTAAAAACATGAAGAACACGTGGGAAACACTGCTCCAGAATCTACACAGATCTTTTCTGAAATTTTCCATCCACTGACACATTACCTGGAAATGGTGTTTTGGTTAGATAAGCAAATTCCATAAACTTTTACATTCTAAAATTTGCTAAAGTTTTAGTGTTGGGATAATGAAAATATTCTGTACCTTGATTGTGGTAATCGTTACATATACTAACTATGTATTTTTAGCACAAGAGGTATACCTCAGTGGTAAAGAGCTTGTGTAGCATGTATCAAGTCTTGGGATCAATGTATCCTCAGTCTCTCTCTCTCTCTCTCTGTCTCTCTCTCTCTTTCTCTCTGGTCCTCTGAACAAGCACACACACATACATACATACATATACCTATACATAAACCCCCACCTGAGTATTTTAAACAGTATTCTATTTTTAAATGTACCTTCATAAAGTTATTTATAAGCTTAGAAGTTCTGTTCCAAAATATAGGCACAAAAAAGATAATATCCTTTTAAAATATTTATACTGCTGTCAAGTAAAAATAAATGCTAACTGACACGAGATTAGGTAGACTTGTCTACTCTAACAGCATCTTACCGAAAACTCAGTATGTAAATTAACAAATATCAAAATTTTGTAAATCAACATTTAGAATTTCTAACTTCCAATACAGTAACAACTTTATGATATAAAGTAGGCTGCTTGTGTTTTAAAAACTAATTTTGGATTTATAAAGCATGAAGAGATGGAAGAGAAAGATAACTTTTTTAGTAGCTTTTGAACAGGTGGGAAGTTCACTCTACAAAATGTTTCCGTATTTTAAGAGCAAGAGAAGGACCTAAGTGGTTACCGATCCCAACTGCTATGAAGACAGGTGAAGACAGTCTGCTTTAACCTGCTGTGGGAGGTGAGGGTCAAACTCACGTGGGTGCGAGAGTCCAAAATGCCCACATCACCTGGATTTCTCCATCAACCTCAAATAAACAATCCTGACCTTCAGTGGGAACTTTTCTTTGTAGACTAACCACAGATACTACTTTTAAATGGAAATTATTTTGGGTAAGGGCTCCAGCTAATATGCAGAGCCATCAGAATGCGATCTGAATTGTAATTTCCTAGTTGATGGCATAAATGTCATGGGTATATAAGTACTAAAAGGTGCCAATGTATTTACAGGTAATATATATTTTATGTAATCTTTACAACAATGTAATGAAATATTTTTTGGATGGAGCATAAATAAACAAATTAATAGTTTAATTATTCCAAAGTTACATAACTAATCAAACCTTATCACTGTGTAAGATCCCAAGGCCACAATCTACCTATGTGTACACAAGGTAGTAGCTGCAGAATAAAAAGAAATGGAGAAATGAAAAAGAATTTTGGAACTGCAGATTTCCAACCAGATGAAATCCAATGCCTTCGTAACTATGACTTGACTGTGCTATTGTTGTTATAATGGTGGGAACTAAATCCAGGGCCATGGGCATGCTAAGCAAACGCCCTATCACTGAGTCACACTCCCAGCCCATTAATGAAGCATAAAGAAAAAAATAAAGGGTATCTAAAAACATCACACTGAAACCATAATGAGTCCACTATTATCGATGCTTTTATTTTCATGGTACCTATCTCATTTTAAATACTGGTATCTCTTTTCTTCACCATAAACATAAAATGCTTATTTTTTATTTTTTTATTTTTTTTTGCTTTTTCCTTTTTATCGGTACCAGGGATCAAACTCACGACTGCCTGTTTGCAAGGCAGGCACTTATGCTGCTGAGGTAAATCTCCAGCCCCAACATAAATGCTTATGATAACACCAAATAAAAATAACAGAAAATACTTAATTTACCTTATATGAGGATGGAGGCTCTGCTCTAAGGGGAGTTTCAGGTAATTTTCCAGATAAAGCACTTTCATCTACAGTGGTTTCCATATTCCTGATAAGATACTGGCTGGTGGTCTGCAGTGAATTCACGCTTTCTACTGAGGAAGAAGAGCAGTTATCAAAATGCTAGTGGCAAGCTAGTGTTTCTTCTACAAGTCCTAGGTTACTATACCAACAATATTCATGATTGTAAGATCAAATATTTTACCATGGGAGGGAAAAGATTCTAAGCACCAGAGAAAAATATTCTTATTTATAAGGGGCTATAGCAGTTATAATTTTGCCATATGGAAAGTCTAAATTTTAAAAGCTGTATGTTTTCAAAAGAAAAATTAATGCTTCATCTTCTAAATGAACCTTTTGAATATTATAAATGCCTATATTATTATAGAATAAAAGTAGATAATTACTGGGAAAATTTAACTATGCAACCAGCAGTAATCACATTTTACTATGGCTCAAAACAGCTTCCTAACTGGGTGTGGTGGCGCATGCCTGTAATCCCAGCACTTGGGAGGCTGAGGAAGGAGGATTGTTGCAAGTTTGAGACCAGCCCAGGCTATAAAGTGAGCTCAAGGCCAGCTTGAACTGCATAGCAAGACAGTCTCAAAAAGACAAGCAAAGAACAACAACAAAACAAAACAAAACAAAAAATAGCTTACAAAAGTCTTAAAGTGGACATAAAAGTACACATTTTACAAAGGGTTTTGTGTTTTATTTTGTGCAGTGCTGGGGATTAAGTCAGGACCTCCGGTATATTAGGCAAGCACTCTGCTATGGAGCTGTAGCTACAGTCCTTGTAGTTTTGTTTTGTCACGGTAATGGCATTGAACCCAGAGGTACTCCACAACTAAGCTACATTTCCAGTTTGTTTTAATTTTATATTTTGAGGCAGGTTTTCCTAAATTGTACAGGTTCCCCTCAAACTTGTCATCCTCTTCCCTCAGCCTCACGAGTATCTGGGATTATAGCTATGAAACATCATGCTCTGCTGAAATATTTTTAAAAGAAATTTCCAAATATATTAACTGTAATTAAAAATATATAAACATTTTAATAAATAATGTAAAGATTACAAACTTCAAGACTATGTAAAGCTGCTAACTGAAGAAGTAGTTTCCTTAATATTTTAAATAATCTTCTTAATTACCTTTTTTGGAGAGGTTGGGAAGGGTAAATAAAATGTCATTATCTCGGGAAATAGAGTACAACATGCTTTCTTCTAAAAGAAGGGTATAGTTTGAATGTCTGAGTATTCTCTGGTCCTTAACTAAAATATCAATTTCAGTAACATCCTTCTGTTGAGCCTATGAAAGAAAAAACAAGCACTTAAAAAAAAAAAATCCCAAAGGCCTACTATCATATAAATCAAATTATTTATTTATTTATTTATTGGCACCAGGGATCTAATTCATGACCTTGCGCTTGCCAGGCAGGCACTTATGCCACTGAGCTAAATCCCCGGCAATCATTTAAATTTTAAAGTGCACTTTTCACTCTGATGTCTATAACTAAAAACCTTATCCTATTTAGATAATTACTTATTTCCTCCCACTTTGAGGTATTTAATTTTACCTTTATCATACTCATGTCTGCTTTAGCATCAACAATTGTAGGTTTAATTTCAGTTCCATAGAAACTTAGAAAAATGGTAGATGAACTATGAACCAAATTTGATCTCTTCACTTTCTTTGTTTAATGATGTTCATAACATTTTAAGTGATACAGATATGTATGAAATGTGCAATCAAAAATTAATACATGACAAGTGCTAAAACAAATCAATTCTAAGTGACTGGCAATTTTTAAGGTACTTTCTTCTTTAACAAGTCAGAAATCAACAAAATCACTGGACACTTGCATAGCAAGAACAAATTTAAATCTTTACAACTAAATTAACAATTAATCAGCATATTATCTTACTTGTCTTCCATCAATCTCTACTACCTCTTCTTGAATGACAATTAGTTGCAAACTGGAACCTGATGTCATAGGCCACTCATGAACTAAAATTCTTAAACTGACAATTCCAAAATATTTCTTTTCCTTCAAATTTTCCAGATCAGCATTCTTCACTATAAAAAAAGAAAGTAGTGACAGCTTTGAACAAAATTTTTCATCAAATCTGTTACTGAATTTGATTATTTTGATGAAATTTACATTTCAACAAGACAGTTGAAATCTAATGTTGGCTTTCTTCATCCTTGACTTTAACACTGTTTCAGATTTATAAAAACAAAGACTATTTGATAAAACCTTACAAGCAGCTTGCACTATCTGAAAAGTAGAAATGCTTGACAGCCCTTGGTTTTGTGTAAGATGCTAAACCAACAACATCCTTTTACACAGGTTGGCAATAATTGAGCCAATATCACATAATTAATTACAAAGCAGGCCACAAGATATAGTCTAGCCCATGTTTTAGCAAACTAAGAACATTCATTCATTCATTTGTCCATAAAATTTAGTAATAGAAGAGGCCCAAATACAAATCATTTTGTTTTATGACCTTTAATCCTTTCCCAGTAAGAGACTTGCTCCCATTGAAGAAGTCAGGAACAGAGGCCTTATTACTCTTATAATGAGCAACAGGATCAGGACTAGCTCCTAACCATACTCCCCTCTAGCTAGAAGTCCAGTGGAGATGGGATGTGGTAGTTGCAGTAGTTAGAGCAAGTGGCTATTCTATTAAGATAGAAAGTGCTATAGAAAAAGGAAACACAACACACATCAATGAAACTGTTGAACAAGAGAGCATTTATTTGATGTCCCTCAATCTGAAGACTATTTGTCAAAAACCCCAGATGTACATTCTGAAAGCAGGCCTAGCTGTCTAGACCAGCAGTCCTCTTATCTGGAATACCCCAATACCTACTTCATTAACCATTTACTCCAATAGTTAATTACCCATCCTCCCCTTCTTTAGTGCCTCCCATTCTAAACCATTCATACAACAGTGTGATTCTCTCGGTCCTATCACTTTGACTGTAAAACCCCTTTGCTCAGTCAGTCAGTGACAGCCCCCCTACTTTTCTGGTAGTTCTGACTGCTGCTCCTCCTGTAGGCTCCTCACCTACAACCGATGTTCCCTTTCCAGTGTGCCTAATGCCCTCATATCCTTTGATGTGCACAGCTGTAAAATGTCCTCTCTCACAGTCAGTATTGAAGAGTGTGTGTGCATGCGTGTGTGTGTGTGAGAGTGACAGAGACAGACAGAGAGAGAGAGAGAGATAGGTTTTTGCTTTTCCCATGCTGCTGGTAATCAAAACCAGGGGCTGGTCCTTTCTAGGAAAACCCTCTACCACTAAGCCGCTAAGGTGTATCTCCAGTCCTATTCTTTTTTTTTTCTTTTAAGATGGGGTACTGCTACGCTGCTTAGGCTGGTCTCAAACTTCTGGACTCCAGTGACCAACCTGTGTGGCCCACAGGCTTGCACCACACAGACTGGCTTCATGTCAGTGTTTTAACTGTTTACTGCTGGTCCCCCTCTAGTCTTGTCAGCAAGTCTGGATGTTCAAAGCCTAGGGCACGGAGCCTCAGTGGATGAGAAATCTACTGCCTTTCTCCCTCACTCTGAATGTGGGATGGGCCTAGTCACTTGTTTCTGACAAACAGCACAGTGCATATTCTTGACTTCAATCTAATAACATTCCATATTTAATGTAACATAGCTGCTTATCCTTAAACCACTCAAATTTTTTTTTGTCTTTTTGAGACAGGGTTTTGCTATGCAGTTCAGGTTGGCCTTGAAACTCACTTTGTAGCCCAGGCTTGCCTCAAACTTGCAGTGAACCTCCTGCCTCAGCCACCTGAGTGCTGGGACACCTGTGTGCACTACCACTATCAGTGCAAAAATTTTAAATGCTAAAAACATTCTACTGACATGAGCATAGAGGAAACTAAAAATAAGAAAATCACACAAGTCATTTTCTCCTTATTTTTTACAACTGTGGCATTGGTACCTTGGCTCACAAACTTAATTTGTTCTATGATTTTGGAAAAAAGTGTCCTATTTGTGTTTGCGTGGGAAACATGGTCACAGATGTGTTTGTCACCTAATGTAGAGTTTACAAACAAAAACAGAATTCTGCCACTTTTGTTGGTAAAACAAACTGTTCATAAACAAAAGCATTCGTGAACCAAAGTACCACTGTATTTCTCCAAGATTTTGGCTTTTGCTATCCCACCTCTATGTACATTCCTTTTTTTTGTGTGTGTATGTGTGTGTCTTTTTTGTTTTTTATCTATACCAGGGATCAAACTCACGACTGCCTGCTTGCAACGTAGGCGCTTATGTCACTGAGCTAAATCCCCTGCCCCCAATCTATACACATTCTTAAGTTAATGTCAACCTACCCGAAATGCAGTTCCATCAATGTCAATCTCAGGAAAAAGAAAAAAGTGAATATCCCATCAATAATCAATAAAAAGAGAGTATTAAACACTCTATAAGGTGTTACTTAGAAATGATGTGAATTATTACTTTAAATGGAAATATGTAACATCTGAAAATTTTTTACTAATTTAGTATTATTAAAACAGAACAGTTTTGGAAATGACTTAGGAGTACTCACCTATTAAAGTCTGACAGCTTATTCGGGTTACACCACTATTTACAGGTAAGTCATTTACATATACCTGTCCACTCTCATAGGTTATGTTAAGAAAAACCTTAAAATAAAGCAGCACATTTATTAATTCCAATCATTTATAAATGACAAACTTTTCATGTCAAAATGCATTATTTTTACAACTAAATCAGGTGTACTGATGCTATGATTTGTAAGTGGTTTGTCCCTCAAGGATCTGTTTGTTGGGGGCTTGGTCCCTCGTGGAGTGGTGTTGAGGCTGTGAGACCTTTTAAGATGTGGGACCTAGTGGGAAGTCATACTCTCACTGGGGGCATGCCTTTGGAAGGAACTGTGAGATTTCAGTCTCTCTGTCTGCCTCCAACATGTGTACCTTTCATCAGCACCATGCTGACACCAGCGATTTGCCCCAAGCCTTCATAACTGAGCTAAATACATCTCCTTTTCTATAAAGTAGTCTGGTGTGGGTGTTTCATATAGTAACAGAAAATGAATTAACACAGTAGTAAAAATACAATAAACTGCATAACACTTGGCTAAATGACATATGAAAAACAATCAAAAGGAGACAAACCTGTTCTCTAGATACTTCCCCATCATCTTTCAATGTTGTTATATTAATTCTGATGCCACCCTGCAAAATAAATATATAAGGTCAGGGGCCATTTCATAAATTGAGAATGACTTGGTTCTTTTTCTCTCTTTGGGTATTGAATCCAGATCTTTATGTTTGTTAGGCAAGTGTTCTGGCACTGAGCTAGACTCCTGAGACCACCTGCATTTTTTATGGCCTTTTATATCCTCCTTTTCCATTGTTTTATAATCTATATATACTTTTTTCCTCTTAATTGTGAAATATATCCCTATGAACATATAAAATGCAAATGTGATATGAAAGAAAATATTGTCTCATGTACCAACTAAGTTAAAATCTAAAATATTACTCATGCATTCAAAGCCCTTGTATAAGACTCACAAAGTGCATTCCCTCTCCTCAAGAGGAAAGCTCTATACTGATTTCCATATTAATTATTTCTTGTTCTTTGTAGTTTTACTGCCTGTGGGTTCTTCTTTAAACAATATATATTTTAGTTTTGTCTGTTTTCTGAGCTTCATTTAAGTACAACATTTTGGAGATTTCCAGGAACATGGCAAAGTTGTGACCAGCAGAAAAAGAGCTTCTTCAAGATTTGGTGTCTAGAAATTGGAAAATAGCAATGTAACGAAGAGAACAATGTGGGGAGTGAAGATCTAAAGCGCAAATTGACGCCAATGAGGCCAGCAAAGGAAGACATTTCAAGAAGAAAAAGATAGGGGCTGGGGATTTAGTTCAGTGGCATAAGTGCCTGCCTGGCAAGTGTGAAGTTGTGAGTCTGATCTTCAGTACCAAAAAAAAAAAAAAAGAAGAAGGAGATGACAAGCAGAGCTTTCTCCTTGACCTGACTCACTGTGCTGAAGGGACAGCTTGAACCTGCAGATGCCTGAAGACAACTGGTGACTCCAGTCTTCTATGGAAAAAGTTTAAAGGAGCAGTAGATGCAGCAGATTGCAGTTATTTGGGTTCTGATATCCTCCAGGAGAGAACAACTGGCTGGGAGCCATCTTGGAGAGGTAGCGCCTGGGCTCAGAACAGCTGTGGGCTGCCTCCATCTAGTGGCTGCCAGTGTCAGGGTGAGGCTGTAGAAGTCAAGTCCGCAGTGGGCACAGAAAGCTGCAGGCTGAACAAACTGAGTTCCAACATCACAGCCAGAAACCACCCTGAACTTCAGTGGAAATAAAGGTGCAGGACTGGTTAGAGTATCCACTAACCCACCCCAGTTACAGCTGGCTTGCTGCGATTAGATCAACATGGACATGGACTCTGCCCACACAGTCTATCAGTAACAGTATCACTCCTTGAAGTGAACATTGTTTTCCTCATTTTCTTGTGGGGACCCATTGAAACTAGAGACCTTCAGATGTGTGAGGCTAAGGCAGGACCAGCCCTGAAAACACAGAGAACCCAAAACAAGGCACGTAAACAAGCTGTTCCAAGATCAAGAAGGGGGGGGGTCAAACATGTTGCTAGGCAGCAGGGATGAAATTGACATTCAAGCTGCTACAGAGGTTGAGCAGTTTCTTCTCTTCCATCAGGAGAGTAAAGGCTCCACCCATCCCAGCTTTTGTCTTTTCATTATTTTCCCATCCCCTGGCCAGCCTCCCCACTAGGGAATATCTAGAGCTGCATCTGGTCACATTTTCTTCTTTTCTTGTTTTCCATTTGTATATGTATTTTTCTGCTGCTTATGTCTTCCTATTTTTTCTCCTGTCACCAGTTTCCCAAAGTTTGTATAATCTTTGCCCTCCAGCCTTGATTCCAATCTCTTTCTCTCCTATTTCTCTATTTTTCCCCTAACTCCTTTTAAATTTTCTCCTGATGGAAAAAAATACTGAGGGCATATATAATTTTTCTAGTTTGTTTTGTACTTTGTTACATAGCCACAATTTAGTTCATGTGGTTAAGGTGGCAAATTAATAGTTAACCACAGTTTGTCATCTTTTAGGCTATGTCTGATGCTAGTTATTACTGATAATATTATTTTAGCCAAGGTGACGTAATTTTTCTAATCAGTTGTTCTTCCTGATATACCAAGACTGAGACTGCTTGAGGGTCGTAAGCAGTACTATAGGACAATGCCAAAGAACCAAGAGCTAGGCCACATAGGCAGCAACTTCACATCCCCAATAAATTGAAGAGGTAAGCAAGATTCAAGAATACAATAGTAAAAGGTGTTAAAAGAATCAAATCACCTATAAAAAAAAGTCCATCAAAATCATGGCAGATTTCTCAACACAAATCCTTAAGTCAAGGAGAGCTTGGAGCGAAATATTTCAAACCCTAAAAGAAAATTTCCAACCCAGATTGATATACCACACAACTATCTTTCAAAATCGATACAGAAGATACTTCCATGACAAAGAACACCTGCAGAAATTCATGGACACCAAACCAGCAATCTGAAATGTACTGAAAGACATTCTATAAAGAGGTAATGAGGACTACAACTCTATGAACCACAAAAAAATGAATCTACCATATGAGAAAAGCAATTAAACACAGGAAAGGCAAGAGAACCAACAACAGGAAAGTAAAGTGACAAAGATAAGTCACGTTTTGAAGTGACTGGATCATAAGAGCTCTAGTTTTATCAGTGATTTGTTCCATTGGGAAGCTCATACTTTGAAGGCATTGCTGGGAGATAGAAACAGGAAGCTGGGCCTAAATGAAGGAATGGGATCTGTTATGGTTTGTGTCAGGATGTCCCCCCAAAGCTTCACAGTGATACAGGCGGGCTTTTAGAATTTGTGACTGATTCATGGTCCACTGCTGGGATTCTAAGCAGATAAGAGCCCAGTGTATGGGTGTGAGGGCTACACCTACCTTCGGGTGGATATCCTACGTACAATATTAGGGGTACAAACAGTCTCCTTGGTGTGCTCTTTTCTTTTTGCTCTTGTTGCTTCTATTGTCTTCCACCATTTTGAACTGTTGCCCTCTGCCATGAGCCACCCTACCTTGGATTTAGCAGATTATGGACTGAACTTCCACAAATTGTGAGATAGATAAATCTTTCCTTTCTTAATTTTGGGCGTCAGGTATTTTGTCTCAACAAAGAGAGAAAAGCAACTAAGACAAGATCACTGGGGTATGACCTTAGAGACTATACCTGGTCCCTGGGCCCTCCTACTCTCTGATTTTCACTCTCTCCATTTTCTGGCAACCACCAGGAGCTTTTCTCTACCATCTCCCTCTGCTATGCTTTGGTCCTAAAGCATTGGTTCTAGGCTGAAATCTCTGAAACTGTGAGCCAAAATAAGCCTTTTCTTTTCTAAGTTGTCTTTCTGAAGTACGTATTTGGTACAGTAATGAGAAACACTAACATACCAAATATCTCTGGGCATTGAGTGATAGATTCTGCTATTCTGAGGTTTAGCTACATCCTCCCAATTTGGTGCTGGATCCAGAGAAACAACTTGTATCTCCAAGAGTAACTTCTATGTTCCCCTTCTTAATCCAGAGATAAACCTCCCTCTCCCTTTTTGCATGTGGAGGAGCCCTTTCCAATCCCAAGACTCCACAACCACCCAAGCCTCTACCTCCAGCCGCCAGTAAATCTGTCTCCCGTTTTACACAGGCAGACGCTTCTTCAAATCAGTGGTTAATGTCATTTTGCCCCCCCCAACACCTCCCCCAGCCAAAACTGATAAAAGTAGTCCCACTTCTTTGTTCTCGTTTGAGAGCCTCTATACCTTTGGCCCCCAGAAGCTCTCCCATGCCCACACTAAAGGCTTCCTCCTTTGTCTCCTTCACTTTCATTTTCTCTGCACTGCTTCACATTGAGTGCCAAAAATACTCAATTGTTGAGTATTATCAATATTTTGTATTTATATACAGTCACCTACCACATAACAATGTTTCAGTCAACAATAGACCACACACATATATGCCAGTCGTCCCATAAGGATGTACCACCTATTGATGAAATGGCTGTCTCTAAGTATACAATGTTCACAAAACAATAAAATCATCTAAGGATCCATTTCTCAAAACATCCTTGTGTAACTAACCCTGTAACTTCTAACAAATGAGACTAAGACTGACATGATTTCACGTGGTTGGCTGACTCTAGGGACAATTTAAGGAAGAAGATTTTTACCATGTAAGGATCATACCATATATTTAAGGATCATACCATGTATTTAAGCTTTTTTTTCTTTCTTTAAGTCTCAGGGTCTTAACAATGAGCAACATCTCCAGCCTTTTTAAAATTTTGCTTTAATTTTTAAAAGAAATGTTATTTTTTTAATTTTAAAAAGAAAATAAAACGAACAATGAAACTGAATTTCAAAACAGGTTAGTAGGGGCTAGGAATGTAGCTCAGTAGCCTAAATATCTGCCTGGCAAGTGTGAGGTTGTGAGTTTGACTCCCCATACCATCAAAAAAACCAAAAACAGGTTAGTAGGACAGTTATAATAGTTGATATACTGTGTATTGTTGTCTTCTTAGTAGGTATTCAAAGGGTAGCATACATCCTTTTCCAGGAACAAACAGAAGCTAGTACTTTATTCTTAAAGACAGAGTCTCACTAAATTACTAAATTGCCTCTGGCTAGGCTATTTAAACAGACTTTGGTACACTTTCCAACTGTTCTAGGAACAAATTCCTTACAACCAGCCTATGTTTCCTGATCCACTTAGCTCTACATTAAACTTGTACTAGAAACAAAGAAACACTAAAACAAACCATCTAACAAGCCAGTGAATTGTGAAATATGTTGGTGTTCAAAGTTCAGTCAAAAGTTTCACCTACTGAACTAGAAGCTCTGATAACTATTTTTCTCACAATCCAAAGAAAGCCTCCAAAAGAAACCTTTTCTTAGCTTCTGCCTTTCAACAGTGAACATACACTATATTGTTAGTACTTTACAGCACTTACATGTTTATCACTTGCCTAGTAAAGTACTGAGTTTATAAAAGACAAAACAAACACATTGTATTTTCCAGAGAATGAACTAAAGAATGAATGAATTCTTTGTAGAGAGGGGATGGAATATAACTCAGTGGTAGAGCACATGATTGGCATTTGCACATTCTGAGTTCAATCTCAGCCTTTCCCCTTTATGATCCGTGTAAAACCACTGCAGAAGGAATTCCATGACATTAAATTTGGAGCCAGATCATATTTCCTGCTCTGAGAATCTTTGAACTGTAAGTTCAGGCTTGTCAGTGAGCCTTGTACATGTTTGGATCGTGGGTGACTAAACTGAGAAGTTCCTCTACAGTAGTTTTCATTTCTTCACTCTAAATCTTTGGTTTATAGGCTGCCTCTGGAACCCAACTAGCTTCCTAAGAACAAGAATCAATATCTGGTTTAAAATAAATACAGTTGAATGTGGTAGCACATGCCTGTAATCCCAGTTTGAAGCAGGAAGATTGCAGAGTTTGAGGCTGTTGTTTGCACTACAAAGTAAGCTCAAGGCCAGCTTGAACCAAAGGATCCTATTTCACAAAAAAGTGTTTTTCACTCTGTCAATTACTTACATAAAAACAAATAAAAATGCTTAGAGTATAATAAATCGGAGGCACTAGAGAAAGATAAGATTTTTTTTTTACTTCAATCAGTTTTCTTAAATTTTATCGGGTTAGATATACAGAAGGACATTTTAAATTGACAGATATGTGATAACACAAGTATAGAAAAATGTTAATATAGTCTAGGAATGCAAATTTTCAATATGGTACCCAATAATAACATGTAGTAATAGAAACTTAATTGAAATACAAATTTTAAAGCTCAGTTCATTTAGCTTTATTCCAAGTGTTCACTAGTGGGCACTGTTACGGAGAACAGATACATCAACAATCACTGCACAAAGTCCTACAGAAGAGCCCTTACTGGTGACAGAAGTCACCAGTTGCAAGAACCATTTCAAAACGTTTCCAAATTTTTAGAAAACAAAAAAGCCTAGATCAAATAGGTTTAGCTTTCCACATACACTCAACCCCTATGAAATTCTGAGATTCGATTTTTTTCTTTTCAGTACTGGGGATCAAACTCACAATAGAACGCTTGCGATGCATGCACTTATGCAGCTAAGCTAAATCCCCAGTAGAATGAAGACCTAACGAAGGAAGAACTGGAGTAGTAAACTCACTAAGAGCCAGACCACAAGGCAGTGGTTAGAAGTTGTTTTCCCCTGAGACTGTATGCACAGACTCAATAGCTCTTGTATTAAAAAAAGTGACGATGAATCTTCGAAATCAGAAAAGGAGAATAGTAGTTCATATTTCTGACTTTACTTTTTATCTGGTTTCTGGAGAGTGTTTAGAGCATTCCTATTTTTAACCAGATGCAACTGGGGTCCACATGTAATTTTGCATAAAATTGATTCTTAGCACTTGTAATGTTGTGGCTCCCTGGAATGTGAAAGGAGAAATAAAACTAGAAGATGTCAAGTTTGTATCCAAGGAGAGTCATGTAACTCAAAAATATTATTTAAAAAAATTATCATACATATTCATATTCAAGTATTGAATAGTTAGAAAAGGTGTACCTCCCTAATTTCTTGTCATTCTGGAAAATGCAAGCTTTAAAATTTTGAATCTTTTCCCTGAAAAAAGGCAGACAACACGGCCAAAAAAAAAAAAAAAAAAAAGAAGGGCAGCAACTCGCAGCCTTTGAATGTCTTAATGCAGTGGTTCTCACACTTCAGAAGCTTCAGAAGTCACCAGTTGGGCTGGTAGCCCCGCCCCCTGAGTGTCGGAACCGAGCTCTTGGAGAAGCACACGCCGCAGCTGAAGGACCACCAGCTCTCACATTCGACCGTCGGACGAGGTCGCCAAGTGGTAACTTTTCCTTCTCCTTCTCCCCGGCCTAGGAAAGGCCCTCCTTCCCCGTCGCTGGCCGACCAGACACAGACGGCCTGGGAATGCGCTCCGTAATTGGGCATCCTCACATTTCCCAAACACACAAACGCTGCCTTGCCCGGGGGCGGGCTGTCCTGCGGGAAGGCGCCGTCACCAAGCGCGGCGTCACGGGCGTCCGCGCACTGTGGATGGGAAAGCCCCGAGAGCGCCAGAACGGTTCGCGGGCCGCAGGAATCTCTCGAGTTGTGGGGACCGTGGCTTAGCTATACACTGAAGGGCCCTGTAGCCCTTTCCTTGGGCTCTCGCGTCCCACTCCCACGCCGCCCCACTTCCTGGAGGTGTTCTCCTCACAACTTCTTTGGGGTACTCGCACCCCGCTCCTGCCCGGGGCGAGTGGTGGGTGGCGTCGCCGCGGCCGCCCGGCCTGTCCGAGCCTAGGACTCAGTCTACCGTCCCCGCCCTGTCCTACCTGCGGGGCTCCGGGAGGCGACGGCTCCGGGGCAGGCGTCGTCAGCCACCCGGCCACCGGCAGAACCAAGAAGAACAGCCGGAGAGCGAGCAGTGGAGGCTCCGGGCCTCCCATGTTGGACGACCCGGATCAAACGGCGGGAAGGTGAGGGCGGAGCCGGCGAGGGAGGGACGGACCTTCCGGGGGCGGGGAGAGGGGCGTGGCCTCCCTCGCATCTGGGAGTGGGGCGCTCTCCCTCGCAAACAGATGAGCAAGTTGCGCGTGCGCGCTGCCACTCTAGGAGGGCGTGATCCAGCTGGGGAAAAATATTCCTAGATCATTACAGCCTCGGTTATTTAATTTTATTTAGAGACAGGTTCTGGCTAGGTACCTCAGGCTGGCCTCGAACTCGTGGCTATCCTCCTGCCTCGGACTTTCTAGTATTGAGATTACACGCGTGCACCACCACGCCTAGCTTCAATTTCATTTGAGAGGGGATTCTCACCTCAACTAGTGAAGACCTTTATGTTGGCATTACACTACTTTTTAATATATATATATATATATGTATACCTCAGAATATATATGATTCTGAGGTAGAATGAATATAGGAAGAAAAAGACAAACCATAGTTTCAAGCTTCACATCTCTGCCGTCAATTTTTTGTGTCTCCTTTGTTACTTTAAAACTTCAGAGAGCTAGCTGCTCAGGTTTGCGTGTTGTAAGCAGTGTCGGTATCATAAGGTCAACCCTAAGGTTACCTAGCCTATCTCATCTTCCTTTAGAACCCAGGACACCAAGATAAAAGAGCAACTACATTTTTAGAATTTGTAGAGACTCACCTTTTACAACTGCCCAGTTTTAGATATCCCTTTCTTCCACCTTTAAGGATGCCTAGAAGTCTCCAAACTTACAATTCCAGGAAAAAAAGAACCTGACAAACTACCCTTGGGTGAGATCCCCTCTCCAGGTGACAGTAAGTACCTCCTGACAGGAACAGAGAGTAACCCAGCAAAAAAACCCGTCCAAACCATAAAGATTTCTCCAGAACTGATATAATGATCCACCAGACCCTGGCCCGCCTCATTTAGTCCATATAAACAGGCCTAGTTTTTTGGGGAGAAGGCCGGCCTGAACTCCTTCATCAGAATCAGTCCCTTCCAACTGCCTAGCTAGACTTCTTTCCCAATTCTCCCTTACTTTCTAATACATCTGCCTAATAAACTCTGCCTATGTTTCACACAGGTTTTGAAATGATTTTCAGTGATCACTCAGTGAAAGGGATTGAAGTCCCTATCTCGTTTTTTGGATCTCCTTGGACACTATCCAGTGACATATCTACAAAATGAAAACAATGGTAATATTTCAGAACATTATTATACATTAAAAAAACATTTCATATTTAGAGGGAAATTTTTTTATCAAATTGGTGGTTTCTACCCTTGAACACACATGAGAATCACCAAGGTAGCATTAAAAATTGCTGAGGTCTCCCTGGGCATCTGAGTTGCTGATTTAGTCAGGGCGCTGGCTAGGGTACCAGTATTTTAAAGTTCCCAGTGGGGTGTGTGTGTGTGTGTGTGTGTGTGTGTGTGCAGCCAAGATTAAGGACCAACCCTGTCATTAAACACTCAACATCAAAAACCAACCACACATTAGATGTTTGACATACCGCTGATCTCTAGAGGCTGTGTGGGATCAACACTCTCAACTGGCAGTCATTTCGCTGGCCTCTGGATATCTTTGTAGTTAGTTTCCTAATCTATGAAGTGAAGATGAAGAGACTTTTTTCCTCCACTTCTCAATTTTTTATTCTTAATTTTCTGAAACCCTCTGAAATGGAGAGCACAAAGAAATTGAAGTATTTTGTATTAACAAGATACCATATTGTTTGAGGAAAAATTCTGAAATATGGATGTTAGAATAAAAAATGTGTTTAGTCTTTCTTTAAAATAAAACTTTTTTAAAAATAGGTAAAAATAAAACTTTTTTTAGTACCAGGGACATAAACCTAGGAATTTACTCTAGGTAAGTGTTCTGCATCACATACCACTGCATCACATCCCCAACCCAACATAAAACTTGTGACATGAGAAAGGAAAAGAACTGTATGCCTATAATCCCTCACTCGGGAGGCTGAGGCAGGAGGATTGCTGTGAGTTTGAAGCGGGACTGCACTGCATAGAGAGACCTGTCTCAAAAAAAAAAAAAAAAAGACAAAAACAAAAAAAAATAGGAAAGAAAAGACAAATTCTTCTTTCTGTGTTTGAGTCTCTTTTTCTTTTTTATCCAGTAGGCCCAACATACCACATGTGTGTATTTTTCACTAGAGTGAGCTAAAAAAGTGCTAGGTTTTTTTGGCACAGTTGAGAGACATGAGCAGAGGTAAGAAAAAAGCCTTTGTTGCTGACACAAGAGGGCTGCAGGAGATTGCGAAGACCCTCAAAGGAGAAAAGCCATGGAGTTGCTTTTATGGGATTGGGGTGGGGTGGAGACTATGTAAATAGGTCAGTGTGTCTCGAGAAGACTGGATGACTTTTTTTGGTGCAATGGGTGGAGACTGTGTGAGTGGACAGTGTAGTGAGGATTGGAGGACCTTTGGTGCACATGTGAAAGGGAAGTGGGAAGTTTATTTGGGGACTAGAAGAAGAACACGGAAGTTAGTGTGGAAGAGATAAACTGTCATTTTAGGGCTCAGCATCATGTTGGGCAGGTGCCATGTTGAGTCTGGCAGAGTTCCATATGAGTGGAACCTGTCATTCCTGTACTTTTGTTGTTATAGGGCGATGACTCTCTCAAGCTGCTTTCTGCTTTCTACTGACAAGGTAACTGGATGGTTACCTTTGATGGTTGACTTTGAAGGACAAAGTCTGTGGGGAGGGAGAAAGTGAAGCAAGTTGAGTTTTTGGAGATCTCTGCCCAGGAGGAGAGTGGGGGCAGGTTGGGATAACAAGGAAATTATGGGTGAAGAAAAGAGTTTGAAATCAGCAGGGAATGGGACCTGTCTGGCAGGGTTGTCTAGTTGGCCATCAGCTCCCACAATGGAGACCATGGATCAGGCACAATGATTTGATAACTCAGGAAGAACACTATAGGTGCCCCCATGTCAACAAGGAAGAAGAGGGTGTTACCTGAGATATCCAGTGAAACTGGGGTTCTTACAAAGATACCTTAATGCGATGTGGACTCCAAGTCCTGTCAGTCCTCTTTAGCAGTGAGATTGAGCAGTGGCGATGAGATCTCCTGTGAGGGTGGGGAGTTTGATGACCTACCTACTTGCTCTCTGGCAGACAGGGCAGTTGCAAGTCCAGTGACCCTCCTGGTTGCAGATGGGACAAGGTCCCAGTGGTGGCTGTGAATTGGGGCAGTCTTGTGCCCAATATCCTTCATTGCCATGCTCAAAGAATGGTCCAGGGGCTGGGGATTTAGCTCAGCGGCATAAGCGCCTGCCTTGCAAGCAGGCAGTTGTGAGTTTGCTCCCTGGTACCGATAAAAATGAAAAAGGACCAAAAAAAAAAAAAAAAAAAAAAAAAAAAAGGATGGTCCAGGTAGACTGGGGATTTAGCTCTGTGGCCTAAGTGCCTGCCTGCCAAGTGTGAGGTCGTGAGTTTGATCCCTGGTGAAAAAAAAAAAAAAAAAAAGAATGGTCCAGGAAGAGCTCAAGTGGCACTGTTTTGTTTTGGTTTAACTTTCCCAGGAGACTCAAGTGCTGTAGTCAAAAGTTGGCATTTAAATTTGGTGTATTGTTATCTTGTTTGTGTTGTTCCTCTCTATTATTGAAGGCATGAAAGGCCAGAATAAGAAGGTTTCCTTGTGGGGTCTGAGAACCAAGATCTGTCTTTTTTAATTTATTGTGGATGTTGGGGAGATTGAGAAATGAAAAGGGAGTTTATGAGGCCTATTCCCTCAGAGGATTAAGGGTTGACATTAGTGTATCTGGTTAGGGTAATTCAGCAACATTTTCATCAGTGTATTGGGTTTGCTCATGAAGTTTTTGGTAATTAGTTTGTTTATGGGAAATTTTATTTTGGCCCACAATAATATAGCCAATTATTACATTCAATTGCTGTGAGCCATAATTTCCCTGATAATCCCATTGGTCTGCATTTGGTACTGCAGTGGCCCCAGTGGGATGCTCAGGGTTAGTTTGATGTCTCTGGTAAGATTCAGGTTGGGCCACTTCCCACAGTTGAGTTTTATCTTGAGGGTAAAGAGTGGATGATATAGGTCATACGAATTAATCACAAATTAGAGCTCTTTTATACAGTTGTAGGGATCTGTGGAGAAACAGCCTAAGTCTATCAGAGATTTGGGATAGATCAAAGAGAGAAAAGGGACATGAATGCAAACCAGCCCCTCAGGGCCAGGGAGGAGGGATTGGGAGGGGTTAAGAAATGACAACGGGCTAGGAGGTGGCAGCAGCTGGTGAGCAGATGGCAGGGAGGTGAGAGGAGTGAGATCAGATACGGTGTGCCAGAGGAGAAAATGGCCTTGGGGACTAAGTGGTGGGGGTTGCTAAGTAAGAGAAGGATGAGGTGGGTGAGGCTGGTTGGAGAGGTTGAGGGGGTGAGGAAACCTGCTGATACGGTGGAGGGGGAGCAAAAGCAGAAGATCGGTAGGGTTTTCAGGTAGGGGGTTTGGTGGCGTGGAGTGGGCCAGGAGTATTTGGGCTGCACTACATGCCTGAATGAGAGAGGGGCATGCCCTGAGAGCAAAAAAGGCTGCTGCATAAGGAATTTCTGGCCATTTGCTGTTAAAATAGCAAGTTATCTGAGTTGTGGAGGATGTTAGAATCAAAAGTGCCCTCTTCTGGCCAGCGACTGCCATTGTCGAGTTTGCACTGGGTCCAAGCTGTCTGGCAGTAAAAGATGAATCATTTTGGCTGGATGGTCTCCTGGAGACCTAGAGTGTTAAAATTGTTTAAGAGACATCTGGGTGCAGTGTGTTTTGAAGGTTGGGAAGGAATATTTTCCACAGTGATTGAATTGAATTGGAGGTGAGCCAAAGGCAGATGACAGTCACAGACAGTCACAATCCTAGGATTGTCACTCTCATTGGGGTGTAATAGAGAGGTGTAATAGAGAGGCATCCATCATCATGTAGGAGGCAGAGGGGGGATCCTGGAGGACATGGGGGATCCCTGACAAGGGCCATGATTTTAAGAGAGGGAGAGCAGCAGAAGCTCCTGGAATGAGGAGCAGCTCACTTGTGTGAGATGATGTGGATCA